TGTCGTCTCTATCTTATCTATGCACTGAAGGGAAGAAATCACCCCTAGCATTTATAAATTGCTTAACATTTGTTTTATTTTATATTTTATTATATATTTTTTATTATATTTTTCTTTACGCAATCTAAGATAAGTCTGCTTTATTGCGCATGCAAAAATATTGTTTTATCGTTATTTTTTTTTAGATAACTTTAATCTACCTAATGACACTGAAGAATATTTAGAATTTAGCACTTTAATATTTGATAAAAATTTCATTCATTTTTTTCTTTATTATTTTTGAAAAATGACAGAAAATTTTAGATTTATTTTAATTGTCATACTTGTAGATGTTGTAAATTCAATCGGTATTGCATGAGATCTGGAAAGTTGCGTTAAATCGTCTCCACTTGCTATGCATTCGTGTCTGTGCTTCATTATTTCAGGCTTCTGAGTAATTGTCGCGATCATAGGATCGTGATGTCATAAGTGAAAGATAATATGTTGAAATTTCTTGCATGTTATTTGTAAGTAAAGAGAATTTGAATACAAAAGATAATAAGATTATTTTAAAGATTATTTTACTTGTAAAAATGGATCGATGCTATCCTTGCTTTACCCTTGATAATCAATAAACGGTTGTAAAAAGTACGTGAAATAAAAATAGACTACGCATGCACATTAAATAAACACTGATAAACGCACTTCATATGCCTTTTATGATTATTTACTGACTATCAAGAGGGGTAAGTATAGCTTCGGCCCATTTTTTACAAGTGTTTTAAAGCGATTTTATTATATTTTGTTTTATCTAAATTCTCTCTCTTTATTTAAAAATAGCACGCAAAAAACTTCCAACATATCATTTCTTGATTATGACGATCCAATGTGGTCAACTATACTCAGGAATCTTAAAGAAGAATTAATTCACACGATCGCGATTATCCCACTTCTTTCAACTTCATTGATCTTCATTTATTTACCAATGATCATTAAAAGAGAAATAAAACCTCACATAATTATTACATCCTACACATGATTCCAATTGACAGCACTATTTAACAAAAAAGATTTTTAACACAACATTGAAGATAAATTTCCCAGCTTTTGGCGCTATAAATACGATCATATTTATCAAATTATTTCACGTCACAATTTTGGAAAATGTGAAGTTGAAGTCACAAAAAAGCAATTTTAACAGCAAAAAAATTTATTGCTATTTTAGCGTATTTTAACATATCTGGAGACACGATAATGTCTTGAAATTAAACAAGTGCAGCGATGTGATGGGCGCGAAACCAGTCGTATTTCTTTATGCAAGCCGATGAGTTGTGGCGGACTAAGTCTATATTATTATATAACAATGTGTGACGTATTGGAGAAGTTTCATTCCAATCAAAATGAAATATATATTATTAGGAATTTTTTCCTTAACAAGTAAATTTTTTTATTAAAAATTAAATTTTTATTTTATCGATTATGGTTAAAAAGATACTTATTATTAATATAGGATTTATTATATCAAAGTTGCGATTTATATATTGGCTATTAGGATCCATATTCAAAAGATCTATTAAAAAAGTATTTTTTTAAGGTCAATGTACCGAATCCCTGTTTGATACATTTACCTTTTTTAATTGTTATTCAAAAAGAGAGTTAATAAAAATTTAAATTTATGTATCAATCCCTATATATGAATTATTTAAAAAATTTAAACATTTTTCAATTTTATCATTTGCTTTTTTGATTCTATTGTATTTTAAGTTTATTAATTTTGACTTTACGTTAATAATTATCAAGAACCTTTCTTAAATGATTAAAAATTTGAATGATTAAAAAAATATCGATATCTTTAATACATAAGGCGCAATTATAATGCAATAGTCCCTATATTAATTACAAATACTTTTTAAATGTAATTGCTGACGAATTTTTTTAAAAATATTTAATGTTGATTGTAGTAAAACTTCTTTAATATATTGTAATTATAATCTATTATACAAAGTACTTTAAAAATCCTTTTTGCAACTTTTAACTGTAAATTTTTCGAAATTGTAATGATAAAGTGATATACATCGTATTCAGTATCCAAAAACTACGGGAAACGATTATCCTCGTTTTTGTGTATTTTTTATTAAACTGTGTAATTACACACTCAGTATATAATAATTTAATAATTATTAGTAATTTCTAATTACTGGTAAAGGGAAAATTAATAATTTCTTATTACTTACGTCCACATTCATTTTTATTCGCATTGTTCTACAAATATTGATACTGCATGCCAACAAAGGGTGGAGAGACGCAAGTAAAAAAACAAAATGAAAAAATCAACATTATTTATTGACAGTCCACCTTTCGTACATGTATTTAATTTTGCATGTATCTAGGCTCACACTCATAATGTTGTTCCCATATATATATGAAACTTTACGTTTTTTTCTAGCATGGCATCTAAATTATTTGATATAGCATTTATTAATGCTTCTAGATGTTGCTCCTTCGAAATAAGATTTTATTAAATATTTGCAAGTCAATAGTTACCTGTGCAATTTATTATAGATTAGAGAACGTATATCACTCTGAAGAAAAAAACAAATATAATTTTTTGCTTTTTTTTCTAAAAACATGCTAGTATGTAACCTTTTTCGATACTTGAAGTATAAAAACAAATACGAAAATATTAGGATTTTTGCAGAATGCACATTGTTGATTTTTTTTTATAGATGTGAATTCAAGATAATAGATTATTGCTCTATAAATGTTCTTTAAAGCGTTTCAATATTTGTCGAAAAATAACTAGTTTTTTTTATATAAGAAACAGTATTTCTGAAAGATTTAATAGGTTTATTAGAATATTAGCGAGTTTTGAATAAATAAGTAGATTAGTAGCTAGGTAGTTATATCCAAGTTAGGATACTTATGGCGGAACCAGCTTATTCACCACAGTTTTGACATTTGATGATGGCCAAGCCGAAGATGAAGAAAATAGCTTGCCGCACATGGATGGTTTCCAGAGTAAACTTCCACCAGGAATACTCCCTCATGGATTACCGCAAGTTAAGGAAGTTCAGCCTGCAGTTACACAGGTAGAGCAAGAGAAAGAGAAAGAGAAGCCTAAAAAAGAAGGTGCGTAAATTATTAATGTTTTATATCATTTCTGTTAATTGAAAAAAAAATTTTAATTTTTATTAATTCTATAGTACGGGAACTTAGCGAGGAAGAAAAGCAAATGATTATTCTATCGGAAGATTTTCAACGATTTCTCGATCGCACTAGCAGAATTGTAGAAAGAGCATTGAGCGAATCGGTTGATATCTATACCGATTATGCTGGCACTATGGATGGCGAAGATGGAATGTAAGTAGAAAATTACAATTGAAAGATTTTTTTCACAATAAATTGTTCGCCGATTTTAAGATTCTTATTAATATCTGATAATAATCTGATTACTAATATTCTTATGAAGATGTTTATTAAAAAAAGTATTAAATCAGAGTAGTTAATATCACTTTTATTAAATTGCTTGTCAATTTAATAAAAGTGTTATTACTACTCTGGGTTTTACTCATGATGATTTGAAGATGAAAAAAGATTTTGGTGGAATTTGCAAAAATCAAATATGTATATAAATTTACACAGAAATATTTAAGTTAACAAAGATCCGCTTTTTGATCGAATAAAGAATTCTCGTACATAATTATAATTAAAAGATTTTTTTGTTAATCTTCTTTTGTTTCTAAAATAGTATAGTTGCTTGAGATAATAAATACGTTCTGCGATATAAGAATTGTTCTGAATTTACAGGGATGAGAAGAGTCATCAACGACTCTGGCTAAATCGCTCGTTCATCTGTGAGCGATGGTCCCGTAATCGTTGCGTGACCTCCATGGATTGGTCGCCGCAGTTCCCCGAGCTTTTAGCAGCTTCGTACAACAACAACGACGACACTCCGAACGATCCTGACGGTGTATGCTTAATCTGGAACACTAAATTCAAGAAAACAACCCCAGAGTTTATCTTTCACTGTCAGTCACCCGTTATGTCTACCACGTTCGCCAGATTCCATCCAAACTTGATCCTGGGCGGCACTTACTCTGGTCAAATCGTGCTATGGGACAACCGAGTACAAAAAAGAACTCCCATACAACGCACCCCCTTATCTGCCACTGCGCACACCGTAAGTGACTTATCACTTTTTTAACATAACTTAATTAGCTAATTAAGCTCTTGGCTTCTAAGCTTAGAAAGCGAGAATGAGGAAGTTATTATTTATTCTGCAGCATCCAGTATACTGCTTGAACGTCGTTGGAACGCAAAACGCACATAATCTAATTAGCATTTCAACAGACGGCAAATTGTGCTCGTGGAGTCTGGACATGCTGTCACAACCGCAAGAGGCATTGGAATTACATACGAAGCAATCGAAAGCAATCGCCGCTACGTGTTTGGCCTTTCCGCACGGCGATGTTAACAATTTCGTCATGGGAAGTGAGGACGGAACTGTTTACTCGGGTAAGTGCGGTTGTCCATGTATGTGAAAATATTGAAGAATAAACTTTAAAAATTTTAACATTTTTGAATAGCCTGCCGGCACGGTAGCCGTGCTGGGTTGACGGAAACGTACGAAGGTCATCAGGGACCGGTCACTGGCATTAGCGCACACGCGGTGCAAGGCGGTATAGACTTTTCCCATTTATTCCTGACATCCTCTCTCGACTGGACTATCAAACTCTGGAGTTTGAAAGAGAACAAGCCACTCTATTCTTTCGAGCATAATGGTGACTACGTTTATGACGTTGCTTGGTCTCCAACACACCCGGCGCTGTTCGCTGCTGTTGACGATTCGGGCAGATTGGATTTGTGGAATTTGAATCAGGATACGGAGGTACCCACCGCTAGCGTCATTGTCGATGGATGTCCTGCTCTGAACAGGGTATCATGGACGCCAAGCGGGTTGCATGTTACTGTCGGAGACGATACTGGTAAAATATGGGTGTATGATGTCGCTGAGGTACATATGATATTTTAATGATTTTCTCTTTATATAGTATTTGTACAGCCTATATAGTATTTGGCACTATTGCGTGCTGAAACTTATAGTATGTTGTACTTAATTTTTTGTTCAATACAGCATCTAGCTCATCCAAGAATTGATGAATGGAACAAATTCTTGTACACGCAACAGGACCTGAAGAACAACAAAGCGGATGAAGAACTGGATAAACTTAATCTTAGTTCTGGGCCGTCTTCGTTAACATCTATGACCTCTATTTCATCAGTTCCTCTTAGATAAAAATTGATATAATTTAATTTGCTCTAATTTTTTGTTGCAACTGATTACACTTGCAATCGTATAAAGAGCAACTAAAACTTATTTAGCTCGTAATGTGTAACAAATAAAATAAAAATAAAGGCAATAAGCGAGCAGTTAATATAATAAAGATGTTAAAAATTAATTTATTATATTGTTTGATAAAAAGGACCGTATGCGTTTCAAACTCACAGTCTTCTTCAGAGATGTTAACGTACACAATTTTAAAAATAAAAACGCAGAAAAAAATTAGAAAAAAACATTAGTTATTGAACATTAGTTATTGAATCAGTTAGAATGAGAATGTCGACAAGAACCTAATCGTAAATCAGAACCATGTAAGATGTTCGTTGTCGATATCAAACAATTGTATTCGGATTCTTCGGTCAAAAAGTATGTTATCAAATGATCAATAATTAATAGAACGAATTGGATGTAGTCATTTTCCCGTTCTTCGGCGAGAAAATGGTACATCCAGATATTTTTTTGATCATTGAAGTTGCCAATACAAAGATGTGTCAGTCAAAAGATAAATTTTCCAGAATTCCAAGCAAGACAAAGGTGATATAGAATCGAAAATGTATGCATTGTACTAATGAGAATTTAGCTTTTTGTCTACGACGAGTCGCAATGTATGTCATAATCATATAAGATATAATCTGAGGAGATTCGGCTGATAATTTTACTGGATGTACTCTATTGTGAAAGATTAGTCGCTAATTTTCTATTCTTTGTTAATAGAAGTTAGCTATATCAAACAACTCTGCTTTAAAAATAAACATATTAACTTCGAACATATATATGTATTATTATAACATGTTAAATATATTAATAATTATTATAATACAAATATATATATATACGTTTAACCAAAATACGATAACAAATATTAGTCGAATAAATCTATATTATTGTAATTGTAAATAAGATTTTGATTGTATTTTTTGAAGGATTATTACAAAATCATATAATTTGTTGAAAAAAACTCAAATATATCTTACGTATATCATACATATACGTTTTACAATATAATTTATCGGTATTGCTGTAGTGTAATAAGACAAGATGAAACATTGCGCATAACAGCAGTAGCATACTGGAGGTCAATCAAATTTAGGTCCACTCTCCTACTGCGTATTCGCGGGAACGTTTCATTTTGTATTTTTACACCATAAGTATTGCCAGCACTTACGATAATATTATTAAAAAAAAAAATTTACGAGATTAAAATCACTATATAAGAACATGAAAATAAATATTCTCTGAATTTTAATATTGTAAAATAGGAACCCTAATTTATTAATTTATACATATAATGTATTCATATATCCTTTACTAAAATAATTTGCTCATGTAATTTGTTTTATTTGTTCACTTTTCATAGCTATTTTAAGGCATTAGGTATTCATTAGATATTTTTGCATTATTAGGTATTCATTAGGTATTTTTGTAAGATTTCGTTTACGTTAATGCAAATGCATTTATTGTAAAATATCGTAAATAAAATCTTTTTAAACATGTATTTCAATTTTCGGTTTAATGCGTGGGGATTTGTTGCATCACCTATATGTATATAAATTATTTAAAAAATTTGAACATTTTTTTATTTCAATATTCGCTATTTTAATTCCTATTTTAAAATTATCATCAATAATACATGAAAAAGCTAATTGTCGGAAAAAGGACCTAAGTAGAATTGTGCCTTTATCCCGCCCATCCCCTTAATTATAAATTGAGCATAAATAGAGCATAAATAGAGCATCTACCTGAAGAAGACTGCGCGTGGCGCAGTGGGAATGCGCCAAGTTTTAACCATGAGATCATATTTCGAGTAAAATTTTATTTTTTCCCATAAACATTTTTTACATTACAATAAACATTTTTTTTTACATTACAATGTACAATTAACGTTTTTACGATAAATATGCTACAATATGTATTGTTGGGGTTTGTATGAAATCTGTACTGACAATCATTTCATTGACAATGTTTTAATCGACACCATTTGACAGATATTGATTTCGCTGACAATATTAATTGACTGACATGATGAAATCACTGATAATGTTTACGTCAACACTTGTTTTACCGATATTGACTTTGTATTTATCTATACATATGTATGTGGACAAGACTATGTTTGTATGTCATTAAGAATTTTTTGTAATATTGTGTATCTGCAGATACGGTGAATGTCACGTTATTCAGTGGAAAGTCGAACTGCGCATGCACAGCTCGATTTTCCATTAAAAATTCCTTAGTCCCTATTTTCGTCGGTATAAATTTCACAATTCATTTCATCGGTAATTTTACACTAATTTTGTCGCAAAAGAAATATTAAGTGGAACTACAACGATAGTTGTTTCATTCTTTTTACATAATAAGCACAAGTTGAGTTCGTCGAATGCTGTTGGACAGAAATTGTTTTGTCTAATCGTGAAGAACTATATGAAAATTTCATATAATTTGTATATCTTTGTAGTGTCATTTATCTAATATATTTCTTTTGCGAGGAAATTACCAGTTATAAAATTACCGGCGAAAATGACATATAAACACAGTATATATGTATAGATAAACATAAAGACAATATTGGTAAAACAAATTTGATGTAAACATTGTCAGTGGCATTTTACCATGTCAATCAATTAAAATATTGTCGGCGAAATCAATGTCGATCAAATGGTGTCGATTAAAACATTGTCGGTGAAATAACTGTCGATGTGTGATTTCATACAACCCATCTAATATGATACTTTAATATTGTTTATGTACGCGGCATTTAAAATGCATGCTCTCTATAGTGTGATGCGAATTTAAATGTTAAAAGGGTTCGGAAGGGTGTAAAGAGAATCGATAAATTAAAAAAAAAAAAGCTCCTTTAGAAATATATTTGTTTTTATTTCGTTTTAGAGAAAATCGTAAAAAAAACAAAACGTATAGTTTTTCTTTTTATACTTATTTATTACTTATTTATTCACACTTATATTTATTCACGTTGTCACTTAATATAAATATTGTTCAAAATGTTGGCCTTTTACAGCAAGCATTGCATCTCATACAGACAGCTCGTGTAGCCAAATACTGATCTGGTCAACGTATTAACTCGCCGATCCGGTACTCTTCTGTTTGGAAATCAGCACGCATATTCTCACATCGCCTGGTAAGCATTACCGTTGCAGAAACCATACACGAAAACCAGTTTAGCATATTCAACGTCAGAATATGTACGCAGCATATTGTAACGGGAATAATTCATTTGATTCTTCTGATGAATAACTGATGAATTTATAAGAAAAAAGTAAAAATGTAAACAGTTAAAATAGTTTTCACCAGCAAATTGAATGTTTTTGTGTATGATTTTAGCGACAATATAATTAATAATAAATGTGCGTTCTACGACACAGACTTTTGCATAATGCACAGTGCATAAGAAAATCAACTAACCAAAGTTGCTCTTTTTTATGAAATAGAAAAAAAGGAAAGGTTCTAATTGGTTATATTTTGATTTTCTTATGCACTATGCGTTATGTAAGAGTTTGTGCGATCATAATACTTCAGAGGCAGTATGAGACTGAAGCAACTATGTTTGTCTTTTTTTACAAATTTATATAATATGTCTGCTCGCGTTACTTGAAATCCCCCAAAATTGTTGCACTTAAAATGAGATTGATATATATTTGGACGTTGAACGAAAAGAGAGAAAGCGAAGAGTGCAAAAAGTGCGTGCAATAGACTTTATTGTCAGAACAGAAACGCAATTCTGGCAGAACTAGAGTAGTAATATTATATTACACACAAATTAAATTAATGAGCAATTTAATAGTGTTGATGTTAAATATAAGTTAATTCGTAAAGACTCTTTACTAATCACAAAGAAAATAGGTAAAATAGAGCAATAGGTGTTAGGCGCGATAATTATTGCGCAAAACAATTGTTGTGGATACACACAAAATTTTTATTAAATAACCGTTTACATGTTTTGACTTATTTTTGAGCCATCTTAAGAAATTAATTTTATAATTATAATACCTATAACTAATTCATTCCAGTGAGCCCTCCACATACTTACGGAAACTTTAATATTAAAAAATGATTCTAATGACAATCCAAATTGTGTTCAAATTTAGGACAAAATTATTTAAAAAACCGAACGAATTTTTATATTACAATGAGAAGGAAGCTCACAGCAACGAGAATTCATTATGTCGCAAACAATTATATTCTATTAATGTAGTCAAAAACTAGTTTTGCCAACCAGTCAGTGTCATTCTTTCATTGTATTAAGATTATTTTATTTGAAACTTTTGACTTGGTATTGATTTCCTTTCAGATTACAATCGATATTAAATTATTTTTTCACAAGATACAATTAATTCTTAATTACAACTAAATTTAAAAGTTATTTCACTGATTTAAACAATTAATTTTGACACTGATTCGCTGACGAGTCAAAAACTACATTAATAGAACATAATTATTTGCGATATGAATTGCTGTGAGCTTCTTTCTTTTTGTGATATAAAAATTCGTTCGGTTTTTTAATTAATTTTGTCCTATTAAATTTAACACAATTGGATTGTCATTAGAGTCATTTAAAGTTTCCATAAATATGTGGAGGGATTCACTGGAATGAATTAATTGTAGGTACTGTAATTATAAAATTAATTTCTCTCTCTGAAGATGGCTCAAAAATGAGTCGAAACATGTAAGCGGGTTATTTAATAAAGACTTTTGCGTTCCATATTGTTTGTTTTGCGCAACAATTACCGCGCCTGACTCCTATTGTTCTATTTTACCTATTTTCTTTGTGTTTAGTATTGATGTTTATAAGTATCTTTATAAGTTTTTTTACACACACACACACACACACACACACACACACACACACACAAAACGAAGCAAAAACAAGTATATTTTTAAGGAAGTTTTTTCTTAGTTTATCGATTTTTTTCTTCCTATACTCCCGAAGTTTTGACATTTGAATTCGGGACATTCCAGTATACATACTAGTTATTACGAAGAATATTTATACTCACAGGAAATACATACTTATTATTAAGGAAATGGAAGTAATAAGTAATTTGTAACGCAGTTATTTTCTTTATCGTTATTCTATTATAATAACAATTTGGCAATAATGAATTTTTTTATAACTAAAACGGTATCAGGGTTGGAAAATCACTCGATTGTTACATAATTGTAATGAATTGGAAAAGTCACTCGTTACTGAAAAAATTAACTCGGCACTTGTAACTCGTTACTTTTCAGTTGTTACTTCTGATAAGGTAAAGTAATTTGTTACAAATTAATTTTTTTAGTAAGTAAACGCGTAGTGATGCAAATTTTACTTTTCAAAGTGATTTTCCTAATCTTAGCGCAATCTCAGCGTTTAGTTAGTTATCATTGTGATATGTATTAGGTGTTGGAATTAATTCGTAGCGTTTTACAAGTGATGGGAAGTACTTTCATTAATGTATTTTTTAATGCTCATGTGAAATAAATAACATTCTTTCATTAAAAAACGCTACGAATTAATTCCAACACCTAATATGATTATAAGAAATTGCAATGTTATTATCAAACTGTTATTACAAAAAGCAAAAGAAAAAAGTAATGAAATGGTAACTTCTCTATTCACTAATTACTATTAAAGCTTCAGACGTTCATCTAACGATAACGATGCTCGTACGGAATGAATGAGATTCGGCAAGATATTTTTCGCAATAAAATATTATATTTATTAGATTTTAAAGTGCTTAAAGATTATTATAAAGATGATATAAGCATCAATATTA